GCAGGGGCCGGGCCCAGGCGGTGCAGGACCGCGGGGAGGAGAGAGTTACCGAAGGCCCGGTCCTGTCCCGGCAGCCTGCTCCCTCCACAGACGGGAGGGCGGGAAGCAGAGCGGCAGGCCGACCCAGGACTCAAAGCGCTGCCTTCGGAAGCTCAGAGCCCAACAATGCAGAGGAAGGAGGTCTTTAAAAATAGAACCGAAAAGCTGCCCTGGGTGGGTTTTCTGTTTGCTCCCATCTCCCTGGAGTCTGGCTCTATTTCCACGGCTCCAGCTCCTTCATGTCTGAAGCCCTCAACAAAGTCTTTGTGAAAAAGCTAGAATTTCTTGGCCACAACAATGAAATCGGCATCTGAATGGCTTCTATATATAACGCCGTGCTCCAGGGGAATGTGGGACAGAGGGACAGCTTCAATGACGCCACCGGGTGCAGCCCACTCCATCCAGAGCACGGAGACCACAGGACAGAGGCTGAGTTCTCCAACCATAAACTGCCAGGGGGGAAAGGAGAGGAAACCCATAAAGGAACTCAAGAGCTGTTTCAAACATAGACACAATCCGAGCAAACCACCACTAAAAGTAAATCCATGAGATAATCAGAAAAACCGGACCCTGCCCGAATATTTGCTGAGATGAAGAAGGGACCGTCACCCTGGGAGGCTGTGACCTGTGCTGTGGTCATGCCCGCACGAAGCCCTCATTCCTCAGCCGTGCACCCTGAAAACTGATGCGGAAATCTCGGGGTGTCTGGAAGTTGCTTTCATAAGGGTGGGAAGTGAAGGTGAGAAACTTGATCAGCCATGAGCTGATGACAGCTGAGACTGGGCGAGGGGAACAGGGAGCTCACAGGCTTTTTCTCGCCAGTTTTATGTACATTCAATAATTTCCATAATTAAAAGTTATTTTTTGCTGAAACCGGTTTGGCTCAGTGGTAGAGCGTCAGTCTGCGGACTGAAGGGTCCCGGGTTCAATTCCAGTCAAGGGCATGTGCATTGGATGAGGGCACATCCCCGGTAGGGGGTGTGCAAGAGGCAGCTGGTCGATGTTTCTTTCTCATCGATGTTTCTAGCTCTCTATCTTTCTCCCTTCCTCCTCTCTGTAAAATATCAATAAAATATATATTTTTTAAAAAGTTATTTTTATTTTTATTTTTTATTTTTTTAAAATATATTTTATTGATTTTGTACAGAGAGGAAGGGAGAGATATAGAGAGTTAGAAACATCGATGAGAGAGAGTCATCGATCAGCTGCCTCTTGCACACCCCCTACTGGGGATATGCCCGCAACCAAGGTACATGCCCTTGACCGGAATCAAACCCGGGACCTTTCAGTCCCCAAGCCGATGCTCTGTCCATTGAGCCAAACCGGTTTTGGCTAAAGTTATTTTTAAAGATGGCCTTTGTCCCCCTAATGGCTGCATAACTTTCTTTGGCTGGCAGCATCTTACCTGGCTAATGCTGGGAGCGGCCTCTCTCCCTGGCAGAATGTGTGGCCCTCTGGGGGAAGTCTGGTGTCGTCACCATTCAGATGTCCATCACTTTAGTACAAACCAGCACACGCCCTCCGTGAGAATCCAGGAGCGAGTGTGATCTCCAAATGGTGACCATTCTCTCAGCCTGGCAACTGTGTCCTTCCAGCTCACCCTGGCAAGTCAGGCCCGGCTTCTTCTAGAGCTGGCTGTGAGCTGATGCAGTGTAAGGAGCCTAGCTAATCCTAGCCCAGAGACGCTGTGTCTGACAAACCAGTTAAATGGTTTTAAGGAGATGTAATAGGAAAGACCCACTTGCGAACGGAGCTCTGGTGGTCCTCAGGGCAGCCTGCCCCTCCCGGCGCCTTTGGCTCAGGATGTGCCATGGCTCATGGGCTGGGAGGAGCACGAGGCGGCCTTGGCGTTGCTCGCAGATCGAGAGGGGTGCGGAGGGGAAGGCTCCCACCTGGTCGGCCCCGATCTCCTCCACACCCCGCCCTCGGCCCCTTCTCCGCACACTGCCCCTGTCTGCATGGACCACACTCCTGTCTCTCTTCCCCTGCCTCTCAGAGCCCATTTCCGGCGGCCTGGGCCCGCCCTTCTTGGAAGCCTGGCTCTGCGTCGGCCTTCCTCCCCTGACAGCCTCTGTCAGCACTGCCGTCTGCCTTCTAGACAGGACCTGCTGCAGCACACGGCCTCCAGGACTGGCTCTTCGAAGGCCGCCTGGCCAATCAGACTGTGAGGTGCGAGAGGACGGAGCAGTGCACCTCCCAGACCCTCCGCCAGCCCAGCACAGCCTGGCTCCTGACCCTGGTGAGTGCAATGTGCAATGTGCAATGTCAAACCCTGGGCCCGTCCCCAGCTGAGGGAGAGCAGACAGGCTACCACTCGTCAACATGGCTCTTTGGTGCAGCTTTTTTGAAGGTGCTTTCTCCATTTGACCATCTTGGACGGGCTGTCATGGGGGCCAGGGGGTACGGGAGCACTGCCCTGCACATCAGGCATCTGACATCGGTCAAACGTCCATAAAAAGTAAGTCAATGGCCGGGCGGGCGTGGCTCAGCGTGGTTGAGTGACAACCTAGGAACCAGGAGGTCACGGCTTGATTCCAGGCAGGGCACATGTCCGGGTTGCGGGCTCGATCCCCAGTGGGGGGCATGTAGGAGGCAGCCGATGGAGGGTTCTCTCACACTGATGTTCTCTCTCCCTCCCCTCCTCTCTGACATCGATGTGTATCCACACGTCAATGGGTGAGTGGATGAGGGGTGCCTTCCTCGGGGAGGGGCAGCCACAGCAGCGCAGGCTTGGAGCGGGGAGCTGATCACTCAGCCTCCTGGGCGGGCACCGCTCGGGAAGGCACAGCCTACATAACTGTGCACGTGACCCCGATTCCAGAGAGAGCCTCGCCTTGAGGGACTTTCTGACGCCCAAAGTGCCGTCTCATCACTGGGCAGCACTGTGGGTGCTGAGGCAGCACCATGGCTGTGCCGGCGCCACTCTTCACGGGCCCCAGGGCCCCGGCAGCTCAGGTGAGGAGGAGAGACTGATTCAGCCTGGGTGGCCCACAGGAGTGCGCAGGCATCCACCCTCCCAGACCTGCTTCCCTGCCCCTGGAGACTAGAAACTTGATCTCCCCTCCCCTGGCCCCCTCCTTTCTCTCCGAGGCTCCCGCTGCCCCCAGATTCATAGCTCGCCTGAGACGGGGCACTGCTCCTTCCCAAGGCCACAGGGCTCGTCCACCATCGGGGGCCAATCTGATCAGCGTCTTCTCAGAACAGAACAGAACAGGCTAAATTTGGCATCAGGTACCTGAGACGCTGGTGGCGAGAGGAAGTGGCAGCTATTCTGGTGCTGAGGAGAGACATGCCGTGAAGGTGCTGGTCAGGCTCAGAGCGCCTGGGAGAGCAAACTCCTGTCTCCTAAGGTCCCAGTGCTGCACTGTGGGGACAAAGAGCCAGCTCACCCGGGGTCTGACGCCATAGGGACCTTCACTCTACAGGCCCACCGCCAGGAGCAGGATTACCTGACTGCTGCGCCCAGCAGGAGCCCATGGTGCCCGAACCCCAGGAGGCTGAGGGTCTGCAGAACACACAGGCCGGGCAGAACTGAAACACGGAACCGGACCACGAGCAGCAGACACCAGCCCCCTCCTGTCCCTCTCAGCGGCCCAGGCCTTCCCAAATGCCCTGCAGCAGCAGGTATTCTGGAGGGGAGCAGCCTGCTGGGCTCGCAGAAGGGAACAGCGGATTCCCCGCAGAGAGGGAGAGCTGTCAGAGCCCTCGGAGCCTCGAGCACCCACACCTCACACAGAGCACAGCACGCAGCAGAGTGCTCGGTGCATGCGGGGCTGCGAGGCGGGTGCCGTCGGCTGCATGGCGGGGGGAGCAAACCCGCTCCGAGAGGGACGGGGCTGGCCTGTCTGCACCAGGCGTCCGGCCACCTACAGCCTTGCACTGCCGTTTGTTGTCTGAGAAATGGCTTCGGGAGAAATCGTTGCACAACAGGCACAGCTGGGCAGCTGGAGAATCAAAAATTGCATTCCCTCCCGGGTTGCGTGCTGCCACACAGAAACGCCAAAGCAGCATCAGCAGCAGACTCCCCTGGAGCCAGAGCGCACGCACACGCACGCACACGCACGCACACAAGCACATGTACATGCATGCACACGCACACGCATGCACACACACACGCACACATTTGCTACTCCCCAGGGCTATTTGGCGTAAAGGTAACGCCTTCCGTTACATCCCGTCATCTCTGGTGGCTTTCCGGAGTTTTCCATCCACTGATTTGACTAGAGGCTGGCATTCCCGTCCCCTGCCTCACTGCCCTCCGTGGTGTGTGTGGGACCTGGCTGGCACACATTGTGAACAAGCGGCTTTCACGGCTGGCGTCTGGTCAGGTGTTCTGCTCAAGGCATCTACGTGGGTCCGGGCTGCCCTGGTCTGAGGAGGTGAGCTAAGCCGTCGGCACACAAACCTAGCTGGTGCGGGTGACTCAGTGGCACTCCTGCTCCACCCAGACGTGTCTCACCAGCACCGGACCCTGTCAGCCTGCAGAGCCCTCATGTCCGGGCCTTCCCCCTTCCTCAGTGACACCACAGCCCCTCCGCGCCCAAGGGAAGCGCATGACCAAGTTCACGGTCCAACTGTCTCCACAGCCCTCGCCCCTCCAGACCCATCCTCCCCAGAGCCACTCCCATGGCTCCGGCCTCCCCGCCACAATGGACCCCTGCAGACCGCAGGCGGGGGCCGCTCCATCCGAAGGCTCCGCGCGGAGGACCGGCTGGTGTTACATAAGCCCCTCCGGGCCCGGCGTTGGGGGGAAGCAAATGGGGGTTCATGACGGAGTCACGGTCCGCGGGCCCCGCCGACCCCGCGCTCCCCACCCGGCCCCGCGGGCGGCGGGCGCGGAGGACGCTCCCCGACCCCCGCTCCCGCCCCCGGAGCTGCCGGCGTGGCCGGAAGTCCCACCTCGCGGGCTGACTGGATGGCGGTCACCGGCCGGCCCCTCCCAGACCGCGGCACGCGCTTACCTGCCGGGGCCGGGGCCGGGGCCGGGGCCCGGGGGGCCCGCCGCCCGCGCAGCGCCCGCCGCGGGGAGCTGTCCGCCGCCGGCCGGTGCTGAAGGCGGCTTCGCGGCGCCGGGGCCCGGGCCGGGGCCGGGGCCGCCGGGAGGCACGGGCCCGTCGCCGGCGCCGCCCTCCAGGCTGGCCTCGTTGCCCATGGCGAGCGGCGGGCGGGCGGGTCGGGGTCGCTCTGAGCCCGGGGCCGGCGGCTCCCGGGCGCTGCTCACGCTCTCGGCGCCGCCGCCGCCATCTCCCCGCTCGGCTCGCGCCGCCGCCCGCCTCGCGCATGCGCGCGCGCCCCCGCCCCGCGCACGCGCCCCGCCCCCCCGCGCGCTCACGGCGCCTCGGAGGACGCGCGCCGGGCGCCCGCGGCGGGGTCGCCGGGAAGCGGGTTTCGGAGTCGGCGCATGCGCCCTCCGAGGCCGCCGCGGCCGGCGAGCGCTCCCCGAAGCCCCGCCGATGGTGGCGGGACCATCCCTCCCCGCGAACCGGGAGGCGGGCACAGACCCCGAGGCAGGAACGCGGGGTCTGGGGGCTCTTCTTGGGGTGCCCTCGTGCCTCAGCTGGCAGCTTCGTGTGGCCGCGATTGATGCTCAGGGGAGGCAAGGTCATGGAAGGACGGGGTAGAGGAGGCCGGTGAGGGCCCGATGGTGAGGGTGTCACAGGCCCCTGGGAGGGAAGACTGTCCAGATGGTGCTAGGAGCCACCTGCGGTCCACGCTGAGGCCGTGTCCGGCGCCAGGAGCCTCGGGAAGGGACCTGGCAAAGGTAGAGGGTGTGCCCGGCTGGCCTGTGGCCAGGGGGAAGGCGCCTGTGCAGGCTCTGGGCCAGTGACCTTGACCTTGGCGATGGGGAAGAGGAGCCGATCTCTCTCTGGGGCCTTCAGCCCCGGGCCCCAGGGGCTGTCTGGCCAGGAGGCTGCCTCTGCACCAGCTTTGGAGCTCCAGTGATTTCCCGACATCAGTGCTGGCACCCTGGCCGACGGGCCTCTGGGCTGCTCACATGGCCTGCGGTGCGTTCCGGAGGGAGGACAGTTCCTGGAAGATTCGGACAAGACTCCACGCTCTCCCTGGCCTCATGCATCACGGCTGCGTAGAACCTGAGTAAACCTGGACCCAATTATAGACCCGGGCAATGCTCCCTCGACGAGGGGACCCAGCGGAAGGCTGCGTTCCAGCCCGGCCTGGAGGGCCCTGGGGACCCGGGGACACTGCAGGCCAGGCCGGTGGCCAGGCCTTACCGGCTTTCCCCGTGCGCTCGGCTGCTGCTCCCAGCCTCCGGATGGAGCCCTCGGGAGAGAAGAGCCCCCGCCTGCAGCCTGCGTGAGGATGGCCCTCGCTGTGTCTCCTCCTCTGGAACGTCTGGTGACTCCATGCGCATCCAGGCTCCACAGGGACCCACGTCTCAGCCCTGCCACTTCCTGCCTGGGAGCCTGGCAACTGACGTCGGCTCCCCACGCCTCATTTCCCAGCCTGCAAAGTCATGGCGTTTCCCCCTCGCACAGGGGGGCTGTGAGGATGGCATGGCTGATGTGGGTAAAGGACCAGGGGCTGGCATACAGATGACCAGCTTTATTATTCGTTGTCTCTCTGGTGGGTGATCTTGGATCTCTCCTGAGGAAGAACATGCACACAGCCACCACAGGCAGCCTTGACCTGACCTTGACCCAGCCCAGACTCCTCTGAGAAGCCACGGAGCTACAGCTTCCCGGAGATTTAAAGACGCTGGTTCCCATGATAATCAGCTCTACCCACCTGGGGTCTGGGGAGAGGCCCTCCTCAGAGTGGCTCCCTGGCTGTTAACAGACTTCCAGGGTCTCAGCCGCCTTGGGGACAAAGGACGTAGCACAGCGGGGGCCGGGGTGTGGGTTAGCGGTGTCTTGCCTTCTTTTCAAGTGCTCGGTTCCACTTCCCCCGCCAAGCACCCCTCTGCCGGCCCTGTCCCTATCCACCCTCGGCGTTCAGCCCAGAACTGCTGCCAGCCAGGGATGGTGCTGGCCTCGGGCTGTCTGGGGCTCTGATCAAGCCTCCCAATTGTATTCACTGTTCCAGGGGTTACCTGCTTCCTCTTGGCCTAGAGTAGGTAGGGGCTCCCCAAGCCAGGATCGTGTCTGACTCATTTCATTCCCTGGGGTGGCCTTCAGCATGGCCCGGGGGCTGGCGGGGGGCTGGGTCCTCCTTACGGATGGACACACATCCACTCTGCTCTGGTCTGGGCTCTCAGACACCTGCTGACGACCAGAGGGAAAAGGAATCAGCAGGAAGATGGAATCAGCCGTCTGGGTCCGGGGAGCGCTCACGCCTAGGGCTTGTGCAAGGACGGGGAATTGGAAAGCAGATCTGGGGGCGGATGCAGAGATGCAGGGTCCCAGAGCCGCAGCTGGACGCCTGCCGGGCCATGGGCCGGGCACAGGGCGGGGGCACCTGCAGACGGTGAGGGGCAGCGTGCTGAGCCAGGACGTTCCTGCCCCCTCACCCAATTTGGTGCGCCCTGCTCAGCGTGGTGGCCTCAGAGGGAGGACCCGGCTCCAAGGACAAAGAGGAATGGCGAGCTCCGTGGGCAGGCAGAGGAGGGAGGCTGGCAGGACCGCTCTGGGTGATGGACGCTGTGGGTTTTGGACTCTCCCAGGCAAGTGGGAGCCGGAGAGCCAGCCCCTTCTCCTGGGCCCCTTGAGCTCTGGGCTCTTTTTAATATATATATATTATATTATTTTTTTTTTATTGATCTCAGAGAGGAAGGGAGAGAGAGCTAGGAACATCCATGATGAGAGAGAATCGTTAATTGGCTGTCTCCTGCACGTCCCTGACCGGGAATCGAACCGTGACCTCCTGGGTCAGAGGTTGAGGCTCAGCCACTGGGCCCTGTGGGCTGGGCCGGGCTGGGCTTCTCTTTGTGGTCGTGCTGCTGGGACCTGCCTCCCCACCTCTGAGGAGCGCCTCAGAAGCTCGGCACCTGTCCTCGCCCCTCCCCGGATCGAAGAGGCAGGACCGAGGGGTTAAAGAAGCCAGAGAACCGGAGGCTTCCCTCCTGGCCACGCTGTGTCCACTCTGCCCCTCAGCACAGCAAGGAGGCGGCCTCGCAAGCCTCGGGCCGGTGTGAGGCTGCAACAAGGGCCCAACCCTTGTCCTGCTCAGCAGCGCCCCTACCCCCAGGCCCCCCGCTGGCCTGGACCACCTCACTTAAGTACTAGGGGCCTCAGCGGTCCCAGGCCCTGGGTGAAACAGGAACAGGGGAGGAAGCTGAAGGCATAGGGTTGGCTTGATGCCTTGTCTGAATTCCTTTCCTCTTGCGATGGAAGATCTTTACTTGCGTTACATGGGGGAAATAGTAAAAAAAAAAAAAAATCACGCCGCCCACCACTGCTCCCGGGAACGCTAATGGGCCCGGCTGCTGAGCGGTGTGCTTCGGAGCTTGTTATGACAAGAGAAAACCATGAAGCCACGGTGCCTCCGAGTTGTAAGCGTCCAAGTCAAAACACGCTGCTTCCCTCGGCCCCGCGCCTTCCGACAGGCCCCGGGCTGGCTCTGCCTCTCCCTCCGGCATCCAGCTCCCCCCCAGCCCAGGCCCTGCGGAGACTGGGGCCTGCCTGCGAGGAGCTGCTGGCAGGAGAGACGGACACAGACTGCTCCCCATAGACCAGAAAAGGCCGCCTCAACCCATGGCCTCCTCCCCCGAGGACCCGCTCCCACGGGCTCCCCCCCTCCTCTGCTCCGGGGATGAGAGTGAGAGTGTGAGCAGCAGGCCCCGTGGAAAGCCATGCCCTTTGCCCTCCCCTAACCAGCCCGGAGACAGAGGTTCAGATGTGAGCTCATGCCTGGGTGGCCCCGGGGAGGTCCCACACTGTCCCACAGGCCTCCCAGGAGGGGCCAGGCCTGACCTCTCCTCAGCTTCGCTCCCACAAGCCCAAGCAGCTCCTAAGAATACCCTTGACCACCAGGGTTTCAGGCCGGCCACAGCTCCTCCCCACGGACCCCCACCCCGGCCCCCGGCAGAGCAGATGGCTGACAAGGCTGTGTGCTCCGTCATCACCGAGTGCCCAGCCAGTCTCCAGGAGCGGTGGATGGGGGCACCCCTTCTCAGACAGATGGGCAGCCTGGAATCGGGTCCCTCATGGGAAGCGAAACCCACGTGGCAAACAGAAAGGCCCCGGTTCCCAAGTCTGGCCGTGGCCCCACTGCCACTCCCGGCAGCGTGGCTCAGGGGTTGAGCATGGACCCAGGTACCAGGAGGTCACGGTTGGATTCCCGGTCAGGGCACAGGGCCGGGTTCTGGGCTCCATCCCCAGGGGGAGGCCTGGGGGAGGCAGCCAACCATGATCCTCTCCCATCACTGAGGTGTCTCTCCCTCTCCCTCTCCCTTCCTCTCTGAAGTCAGTAAAAAATATGTCTAAAGAAAAAGCTAAGGGCTCGGGTGTGCAAAGTACCAGCCCTGTAGCTCTCCCTACACACCGCCCAGTTCGAGGGTCGCAGGCGGGGCCCGAGGAGCAGAGCCCTCCGGACTCGCCCCTCCTTTCCCTGCGGCTTCCCTCCCGATGGACAACGCCCAGGCGAAGGGAAGGCTCCGGCCCGCTCCATGCGCCACTGCCGTCGGGGTCTGGGCAGCGATGACCGGGCAGCGATGGTGAACTGGAGAAACCCAGACCCATTTCACCTGCGGCGGCGGCGACCCAGCTCCAGCGCCGCCGGCCGCGGGCCCCGAAGCCCCGCCCACAGCCCCGAGGCCCCGCCCGCCGCCTGCAGGTTTCTCCGGCCTCTGGCGCCACCTGCTGGGAGCCGCCGGGCATTTGCCTCCTCGGGCCCAGAGCAGCTGGCAATCCGCTCTCCGCGGGCTCACCTGGGCGGAGGGGGGCGGAGGGGGGTGGAGGGGGGCAGAGGGGGCTCACCTGGACGGAGGGGGGCGGAGGGGGCTCACCTGGACGGAGGGGGGCGGAGGGGGCTCGCCTGGGCGGAGGGGTGCGGAGGGGGCTCACCTGGCGAGGGGCGGAGGGGGCGAGGGGGGCGGAGGGGGCTCCTGGGGCGGAGAGGGGGGCGGAGGGGTTTCCCCTGGACGGAGGGGGCGGAGGGGGCGGAGGGGGAGAGGGGGCCGCCTGGGCCGGAGGGGGGCGGAGGGGGGCGGAGGGGGCTCACCTGGACGGAGGGGGGCGGAGGGGGCTCACCTGGGCGGAGGGGGGCGGAGGGGGCTCACCTGGGCGGAGGGGGGCGGAGGGGGGCGGAGGGGGGCGGAGGGGGCTCACCTGGGCGGAGGGGGGCGGAGGGGGTTCACCTGGACGGAGGGGGGTGGAGGGGGGCGGAGGGGGCTCACCTGGGCGGAGAGGTGAACCGCTGTGAACCAACCCGAGGGCGCATTGCCCAGGCCACACGGAGGCTGCACAGGGGACACAGAGAGACCAACGTGGCTTCACCTCAGCTCAGCCTCCAGGGTCGCCTCCATCGAAGCAGGGGGGTGAGGGGAAGGGGGCTCCCGAGAACCCTGGCGGCCAGGCCTCCTGCTGCTCTGGCCCCAGCTGCCCTCAGACAGGCCCCTCCTGCAGGAGCAACGGCCCCTCCCTCAGAAGATGGGAACCCCACTCTGGATCTTCTAGGGTCCCCATAAAGGAATGGTACCCACCATCCCTCAGTGGGGGGTTCAATACTTCAGCCCTCCACAACATGAAGAAAATGTTACAATCAGGAGAAAAAAAATCTGAAATGCTTAGTTCAATCCCTGCCCGGACATATACAGGAATCAACCACTGAATGCATGGGAAGGTGGGACGACAAATCCCTCTCTCTCTCTCTCTCTCTCTCTCTCTCTGTCAATAAAAGAGAAAAAAATTAAAAAATCTAAAGTGTTTAGAATGGAATCTGGGGCCTTGCACTAGTTGTGGGAGTGGGACCCTTGCCTTCTCTGGGCCTCAGTCATATTGTCCCAAGGGGGTGATCAAGGTGAGCAGCCCTGTGGCAGGGCTCAGTGGTTGAGCGCAGACCAATGAGCCAGGTCAAGGCGCAGGCCGGGGCTGCAGCTTGGTCCCCAGTAGGGGGCGTGCAGGAGGCAGCCCATCAGTGATTCTCATCATTGATGTTTCCATCTCTCTCTCCCTTCCTCTCTGAAATTATATATATTTTAAAGGAAAATATGCCCTAACCGGTTTGGCTCAATGGATAGAGCGTTGGCCTGCGGACTAAAGGGTTCCAGGTTTGATTCCGGTCAAGGGCATGTACTTTGGTTGGGGGCACATTCCCGTAGGAGGTGTGCAGGAGGCAGCTGATCAGTGTTTCTCACTATCTGTCCCTCTCCCTTCCTCTCTGTAAAAAAACAATAAAATATTTTTTTTTAAAAAGAAAAGAAGCAAAACCAATACATACATACATGCATCAGGTAAGCAAAGCGGGAAAATCGTAAGGCATGGCTGCCGGGTGCGTTGAGAGAGGCGCAGGGAGTGAGCTCTGGGGCTCGAAGCCTCCCAGAGGCCAGGGAAGCTGCAGAGGGCCTCTCGGGACTTTCCCAGCCACTGGGAGCAGGCAGAGGCCAAGCTGGTGGGGGCGATGGAGCCTGGGCCCCCCACCCCGACACGCTGGGATTCTGGAGGGAGGGCTGGCTCTAGGCACCCGGGTCCCCCGGCCAGCAGCTCTGGCTCAGGGGAGAGGCACTCTTTTATCCTCACTGGGAGTCTCTGCCCTTTTGCAGGCAGCGCGTTCGGCACAACTTGTGGTCCCCATCCCACCGCCCCCAGGTCCTGGCCTCAGCATCCCTCAGACACCAGCGCCGTCCGCTCCTCACAGAGGGCCAGGTCAGAGACTCGGGAACCTGCCCAGGGCCAGAGGCACACAGGAAGCAGATTCCTGCGGGTGACAACCCCCCGTCTCCCCCAGTATGTCCCTTCCTGCCCCTTCCCTCCGTCACCCCCTCTCCAGCTCCAAAGACCTGACGGTCCCCACGCCCCTGATGAGAGGGCACAGGCGTGGCAGGAGTGGTGGAGTACAACCACCAATACCCCCCTGTGGCTCCTCTTCCTGCCTTGCTGACCCTCCTGTTCTCTGCTGAAACCAGGCCCCTTTACTGGAGTCTGGGCAATGATTGCACTCCATCCAGGGCTTCCTGTGCGACACGAAGCAGATTCCTGAGCCGATAGAGCGAGGGCAGCCAACTTTCCTGGGCCCTGCTGCTCGGCCCAGGGGGTCTGTGTCCCTGAACCTGTGCTGGCCACAGGCTCTCCTGGCTCTCCTGGCACTTCTTCCAGGAGTTTCTTGACCCTCAACAACCCGTACAGTATCACCGCCTTCTCAGTCCTCCACACAGCTCATTTGGCAGAATCAGCCAACGCCTCACTGCCCCACTCAGCCTATTGGCCAGGACCAGCCGCCCCCTCCCTGCTCCACACATCCCATTGGTCAGAACCATCCTCCCACTCTCTGCCACATGCAGCCAATTGGCCAGGACAAGCTACCCGCTCATTTCTACAAGCAGCCCATTGGCCAAGACCAGCTACCCCTTCACTGCCTGACTCTGACCATTGGCCTGGAGCATCTGCCCCCTCAACACTCCAAACAGCCCATAGGCCAGGCCAGCTACCCCCTCACTGCACCACACAGCCCATAGGCCAGGCCAGCCACCCCCTCACTACTCCACTGAGCTATTGACTAGGACCAGCGCCCTCCCCCTCACTGCCAGATGCAGCCCACCAGGATCAGTGCCCTCCCCCTCACTGCTCGCACACAGCCCATTGGCTAGGACCAGCCGCCCTCAGCTCTGGCTGCACTTGGGCTGTATCTGGGTCTTGAAGGCTGGGAGCAGAGCAGCCGCCTGGGCTGTGGGTGGAGATGGTGAGGAGGGGGTGCGGTTCCCAGAAGAGGTACTAGCTGTCCTGTGACCAATGGCCTTGGAAGACACAGCTGTGGCCCCGCCTCCCATCCCCGGGCAGCGTCCCAGGCCTCCCAGCCCCTTCCTGGCAGTGAGTCACAATAAGCCTGCCCAGCTGGCCGCCCATCCTAGCAGGGCACTCGGGGGCAGGCCCCAGGACTTCCAAGCCCACCCCGGGCAGAACAGCTGGGCCACAAACAGGTTTCCCTTTCTCCCCACTCCAAGGCCAAGGCCAAGCTTGCCTTGAGCCTGTCTGGGAAAGTGGCCAGCTCCAAGCCACAAGGCAATGGGGGCAGGAGCAGGGCAGACCTGCAGCCAGGAGTCCCTAAGTGCCCATCCTGGCAGGGGCCCAGGCTGAGGGACTCCTGCCCTGGGCTGGCACCCGCTCGGGCAGCCTGTGGCAGGGCCTTGCCCACTTCCAGCCCCTCCCGCCCAGGTTCACTGAGTTTTCTTTTCTTCTTTTTTATATATTTATTGATTTTTTACAGAGAGGAAGGGAGAGGGATAGAGAGCTAGAAACTTCGATGAGAAACATGGACCAGCTGCCTCTTGCACACCCCCTGCCGGGGATGTGCCCGCAACCAACGTACATGCCCTTGACCGGAATCAAACCTGGGACCTTTCAGTCCGCAGACCGACGCTCTACCAGAGCCAAACCGGTTTTGGCTTCACTGAGTTTTCTGACCACCCCCCACCCCCCAGAAACTGAGACTTGTCTTGGCGGGCTCGGGCACAAGTCCTCGGAGCCTCACCTGTGGGCAGAGCACAGCCACCTGCTCTGAGGGGCGCAGAGCGGTAAGGCTGGGGGGCCCGCACCCCCGCTATGTCCCAGATGTAGAAGGGCGGAAATAGACACTCGGAGGCCATGACATTGTAATAAAGACACTGCTTTTATTTAGTTTGATATGTTTCTATACAGAATGCAGAAAACACGTCTGAAACCCATACAGAAGGAAATAAAACACGCCAGTGGTTGGTGAACACTTGAATGTGAGGCCGGCTGTCTCAGAGTCCGACACCATGGGCCATCAGCAGCCCGTAGGGGGGGAAGGGGGGGGGTGCCTGCAAGGGCATTGTTGCTCTTGTTATTCTGTTCACTGCCCCAGTGCCTCCAGTTGCTATGGCAACGGGCCATTCTGGGCCAGCCACATCTCTGCATGGCCGTGCCTCATGGTGGGGTTGCTAGGGGCAACTGTGCTGTTGGGAAAGCCTGTCAGAGCCCTCACCTGGAACGCCAGAATTGTTTACTTTCTGATGAGGTCATCAAAAATGGCCTCTCCAGGTCAGACCCACGTGTGCTCCTGCCTCTGGGGCATCGGGGAACTCTGGCTTGGATCAGGACTTGGAGGCACAGGCCTGGTCACCCGATGTCCACAGAGCCTCCGTCTGCCGGCGCCCCACAGCACTGCCCACTCAAGCTCCACTGGGGCCGGCAGGGAGGGCTGGGCCTGCGGAGAAGGCCGGGGGCAGACCTCGGGGCCTCCCTCCAGAGCAGCCCGGGCCTCTGCAGGTCTATATGGCTTAGAAGTGCTGCTCGTGTCCCAGGGAGCCGGCCCACCACGCTCGGCATTATTGGAAAGGCTTTCCTCCCCTCCGTCCGCCAGCCCGCTCAGCCTCAAGGTCACGCCCCATGGCTCCTCCCAAAGGAGGCGGCTCCAGCGAGGGGCGCCCTGAGTCCCGGGACAGATGCAGATGGACGGACAGACGGACACTCTGCTAAAAAAGGCCAAAGGACCCCAGTGTAACCCCAAACTTAAACCGGTAAGAAAGAAAGGGGCAAACGAACAAAAAAAGGAAGGAAGGAAAGAAGGGGCAAAAAATAAAACCAAATCAAAATGAGCGAAGCTGTCAGTTCCATGGAGTCGACACTAAGAGCTTGTACAAACTGCTGTAAGCATCACCATTTTAAATCTTTTTTTTAATAAAACAACTTGAGGCTGTATAAAAACTTTAGTAAAAAATTAGCTTTGAGAGCCCACAGGTTTTCACTACGAACTATTGCTGGCACTCCTCCCCAGCCGCCAGCCCCTCCCAGCCGCCAGGCCCCGGGCCTGGCACTGGAGCGCCAGAGAAGAGGGTGGGGGTCAGGGTGGGGGGCTGTGGACTGTGGGGACAATGTGGCCAAGGTCAAGTGAGGAAAGAGCATCACATGAGATAAAAATATTGCATCTTCACCAAAATGTCCCCCACTAAGTGTTTCAAAAGCCATGGTGCTCCTTTGAGGAGGGAAAACACAGAAGGTGAAAGAAACCAGGCTGATGCGGTCGGGCCCCTCGACCTCCCCAGGCACCCGAGCAGCTGGCCCACCCTGCAGCACCGAGGTTGGGGCCGTGGCCCATGCCTCCTGGAGCCCCGTTTCGATGGAAATGAAGACCCCTGGGTGGTGAGCTGCGAGCGTGCAGGGGGTGTGGGGGGGTGTCCACGGCCTGGAGGCCCCTCCTGCTTCCAGCCGTGGCCACGGTGGGGAGCAAGCCCAGCACCAGGGCCCTGGCCCCTGAGCCAGGGCGGGAGGCCCCGTTCCGCTCTGGGGCATCAGAGCAGCCAGGTTACGTAGTGTGAAAAAATAGGATTCCTTTGATAAAAAATACTGTCCCGTGGTCTTCTCTAGGTTTGAAACACCCTGGGAGCTTATTTTTAGCAAAGCAATTTCCCACACCCACCCAAAAATTATACATACAAGTTTAGGTAAACAGCAGATTAAATGTAAAAACTTAACCTTAAGAAAGTCCTTTGAATGTAATCTTCAGCTACTGTTTTCCATGTTACGTCCTGCAGCTAGACACACGTGAATAGAAAAAACAGTACAGTTAGTGTTAAAGGCAAACGCAGAGGCCGGAGGCGCGGCACTGCCTGCGAGCTCTGGGCTGCTCAGCCTCCCCACGCCCGGGGCTCGCAGAGTTCTCTATGGACAAACAGAAAGCTGTTAGGCAAAAAGAAAGTGAAGTGTCCCCAGGCCTCTCGGCCGCTCGGGGTCAGGAGGACAGAGGCGGGCGTGTCCTGCCCCGCGCCAGTGTGTGCTAGGTCAGGTGTCAGCTCCAGGGGCGATGGTCTGCGGGCCACCGTCTCCACGGACACCACCGTGTGGTCTCCAGGGCCCTGCCCTGCCCTGCCTCCACCAGGCGCCTGTGGGTTAAGGGGGCACGTAGGGCGGGGGAGACCGGTACGGGGTCATGTTCTTGGGGCGGGAGCCCTTGCCCTCCATGGGGGCCGTGAAGGGCGGGGGCGGCTGGTAGGGAGGCGCGTTGGGGTCCTCCTCGCGCAGGGGCGCGTACTCGCCCCCGCTGTCCTGGTTCAGGGGGGTGGTCTCGGGCACGCTCTGGCTGGGGTACTCGGGGGGCGGGAGGGGGGCCTTCTCCTCCTGCAGGATGAGGGGCATGCTGGAGGAGGGCGGTGGCTTGGAGTCGTCCAGCTCGTCAGCGAAGATGATGGGCACGCCCTTCTTGATGAAGGTGGCCTGGTCCTCCAGCGTGAGCTTGCCCTTGCGCTTCTTGCGGTAGCAGATCATGGCGATGATGCCGGCGATGAGCAGGATGGCGGCCACCACCACGGCCGGGATGACCGTGTGCAGGTACACGTCGTCCTCGCTGCTCTTCTCGGGGTCCCTGTCGGGCACGGCCGTGGTGGGCGCCTCGGAGGGCACCCTGCGGGGCGGCGCCACGGGGACGAACTGCAGGTGCCGGCAGCTGCCGGAGCCCGTCACGGCCACGCTCAGGGCCTTGAAGTCGGGCTCCAGGGCGTTGGAGAAGGCGGGCCGGGGCTTGCCGTCGTCCTCTGCGATCCGGCGGCTCAGCGCGGCCACCTGCTCCTTGGGGCAGGGCTCCAGGGGCAGCGTGTTGTTGGTCCACTCCACCACGATGGAGCCGGGGCGGATGCCCTGCAGCGTGACGGTGCTGCAGTTGCGGTCCCCGAAGGCGAAGGCCAGCTTCCGCACCAGCGCGATCCTCTTGTGCACGTCGCTCACCAGCGGCCCCGGCTCGCCCGCCAGCGTGGCCCGGAAGCGCGCGGGCGCCTTGTCCCCCTGCGGGCGCCGGTGCACGTGGATCTCGAAGGCGTCCACGGCCGACAGGCCGCCCTTGTCGGTGGCGTGCAGGAAGTACTCGTGCTTGCCCACGTGGCCGGCGTCGGGCAGGCCGTACAGCAGCTGGCTGTTGCTGTTGAACTGCACCCACGACTGCTCACCCACCAGCTGCTGCTCCCGCAGCTTGAGCGTCAGCTTCAGCTTGTCGGTGGTGGTGTCCTCCCTGTCGTAGAAGGTGTCCGATGGGATCTTCACCTCGAAGTAGGTGCCCACCCAGGCGTCCACCTTGTCGATGTGGTTCTTGAGCTCGGGGCGCTGGTTGGGCTCGCCGCCGCGGGGCAGCCCGCTGGTGGTGGTGCGGATGCGTGTCGGCGGGGAGGCCGTCTCCAGTCTGGTGACGGGCGCCTTGGTGGTGACCCGGGGCACCGGCCGGGAGGTGCGCGGCTTCTTGGTGGGCCTTCGGGTCGTGGTGGTGGAGGAGTCGGTAGAAGGCGTGGCTGGTTTTGGCGTGGACACGCGTGGCTTCTTGGTGGTAGTCGTGGGAGGGGTAACGACCGCCGTGGGCTCCAAGTGGCCGGGAATGGTCATCGTGGGGCGGATCTGACCGGGAGCCGTGGTGCCAGCTTCGGACACCCGAGTGGGCTGGATGGGGCCCAGGGTTGGCGTCTGAACAATGGCCCCGCGAGTCCGAATGGTGACCGTGGGCTTCCCAGGCACGGGGTCCCTGACCGGCGGAGCCATGGTCTCGGTGGGAGGAGCGATGGCTGGCGACGTGGGGGTGGGCACGATCCTGGACGGCGGCTCTGGGACGGCGGTGGTGGGGGGGCCGATGGCAGTGACGGGGGTGGGGGTGGCGTGGATCTGCCGCCGGACGCGCTTGGGGAGAGGGGGCTTCTTGTTGGCGATGTGCCAGCCCACGACGGGGTAGCCGAGCCGGGCGGACATGGCCCCCTCCCGGGCGGGCGCCTCCACGCCGCGGATGTCAGGCACGCTGTTCTGGTTGAGGGAGCAGCCCAGCCTCCAGGACAGCAGCGCCCCGTTCTCCACCACCTTCTTGGCGTTGCCCGGGCCGGCCATGAAGGCGGACATGTCGAACAGCCGATTGTTCACCACGGGCACCAGCTTCATGCCGGGCAGCTCCACGCCCGAGAAGCTCTGCATGCTGCGCAGCAGCGCCACCCTCTGCTGTGGGCTCATCTTGGTGAGGTCGGCGTCCAGAATGACCGTCAGCACCGTCACGGGCTCGTCGGCAGCGCAGGCGGAGGCCGCCGGCTCCCCGGGGTCCGGGGCGGCCCGCACGGCCTGCGGCTCGCTGTGGTCCTCCGGGGAAACCTCGATGGAGAACACGCTGGAAGCCTGGGGGACGTGGCTCCCGTTGGCCCCGGGCCGTGCCGCGCTCACCGCGATGTAATGCACCCCCTTATCCGTGTCGAGGGGGAGGCCCTCCAGGCTGCGGCTCTGCGGGTCCCAGTGCAGCCAGGGCGGCAAGGCCTCCTTCCCTGCAGCCGACACCTGGAAGAGATACAGCGAGGTGAGTGCCCCGGTCGCTGCCTCACCGGAAACAGTCACAAGCTCACCACTGGCCTCGCCTGAGTGTGCGGCAGGCTGGGTGTCCCTGAGTCCCTCCCTCCGGCTCACTGAGCTGTCGGCAGAGGCTGGGCTGCCGGATGGTCGAGCCTGAAAGGCCAACGGTTCACTCGAGGCCACGTGGCGAGAGCGGGGCTGGCACTCGAACAGGTCTCATCCCAGAACGAAGGCACTGGGCCTAAGAATGCCGTGGGGCCTGGCCAGGGTGGCTCAGAGGTTGAGCATCGACCTATGAATCAGGAAGTCATGGTTCGATTCTGGTCAAGGGCACAGGCCCGGGTTGCAGGCTCGATCCCCAGTGTGGGGCGTGCAGGAGGCAGCCGATCAATGAGTCTCTCTCATCACGGATGTTTCTGTCTCTCGCCCTCCTCCTTCCTCTTTGAGATCAACAAAAACACATTAAACAAAACAGGACACTGGGGGCTTATAGCAGCGACATGTCAGCCACATCCTCACCCACTGTGCCTGCAGGCCCTCAGCTCCTCCTGCCTCTGCAGACACTGCCTTCCCCCCCGCAGGAGCACCGCCTGCCAACATCGCTAGTCCCACCCGCCAACTCACTGCCATTCGCTGCCAGCACAGCGGCGTCAGAAACGGTCAAGGATCTGTAGAAATCGGTATTTCCAGACCATGAACATTAAATATATTTTCCTTTACAAGCTTTTTTAGCAACAAAAAAATTTTCAAGTGTTTTGGCTAAAAAACTTGTGCTTTACATTTTTTTTTAATTCAAGTATATTAAATATGTAAACAGCCACAATCACCTAAAAACATAGAAAGCAAAGTTTGCTTGTTTTGGAAAAAAAAAAAAGAAAAAAGAAAAGAAAGCAGCAGCAGCAAAGATGAAGGCCCAAAGGGAGCAGCTGGGGAACTAGATGTTTACAGGGTGGGCAGGACCTGGGTCCTGAGCGGGCAGCGGGTGATCTGGGTGTGGACCTCGGCTTCTGCCCCCCCCCCCCCCCCCCCGCCAGAGCCACCACTGAGGGAGAGCACCCTGGCAGAGGGGGGCGGTGGGGGGGGGGCTGGAGCTCTGGGGAAGTCAGGAGGGAACAGCCACCGCACAGGGGCCAGGAGAGCCTCCAAAGGGGGGTGCCAGCGGGCGGGCCAGGCCAGGGCCAGTCCTGAGTGGCCAGCAGCTAGGCCTGTGTCCGACCCTGAGTGCCTCCATCAGCAGATGAGCAGGCTGCCCAGCTGCACAGGCATGTTAAACAGAAGGGCCACCCTCCAGCATCCTGTCTGCTGACCCCCACGGCCCCTGCTCTGCCGTGGGCGTTTCCCAGGAATAAACTCAGCCACTCTCTGGCCTAGGCTCCCACTCAGCCAGTCTCAGAAGACAGGAGTGTATTTAAGGAACCTTCCACCATGTCGATGTCGTGTACCATCAGCCAAACATGGGAGAAAAGCCGGGTTTCCCCAAAGCAAGAGAACACGCACCGTGTCTAGCTGAGGGGAGCGCACCCCGCTTTGTGCTGATCAGACACCTTCCTCCCGTCGCCCTCCAGCGCCGCAGGCCCAGGACGAGTCTGGCAGGAAACAGCCACGACGCCCCTGCACCGCCTGCCTCAGCCTCTGCAGATCCGGCCCTCACCGGGGCCCGCAGCCCGGAGCAGAGCGTCCAGGCCTGTGGGCGCCGGGCAGGAAGGAGAGGACTGAGTGACTCTAAGCCCTGCACCTCGGGCATCGTGGGCCTGCTGTGTGCACCAAAGAGAAGGCCTCTGGCTCCGGATTCACGCCCAAAGCAGAAGCTCGGAGCATCAGGGAATGAGGAGACTCAGGAAGCAAACACACCTATTCCACGGGAACCTGGCCAAGTCCAGTCCACGCTGGCACCCGCGTTCCCAAGGCCATTGGGGAAGACCCTGAGCTGGGGAGTCTGAACAGGCCCGAGGGCTGGCAGCACCCCGTCACGGAAAGGGTCCCCCGTGGCCGTCCCCCAGGACTCAGTCCATGGAGTCGGCCACCCTCAGCTCTCAAAGCTCTGGCCCCTCCCCTCAGGGCCCACGGGTGCGGTGAGGCAGCCGAGAGTTCCTGCGGAGGAAGACGGCTCCGGGACAAGCCGGGACTCGTCCTGTAACGACAGCCGACCGGGGAAGCCCCATCGGCAGGAGCCGGGCTGAGGCCCAGGTCCAGGCAGGCCGAGGCCGGCCCACCCTCCGCCCGCTTCCCTATCTGAGAGGGAGGCGATGCAGTCCTGTCATCACAGCGCCAGGCCCGCGCTGAGTGCTCGGCACTGCTCCCCGGACACACAGGGAGCAGCTGCCCAGGCCTTGCCCGGAGCAGAGGCCTTGTCTCCGAGCCACAGCCCAAAGCAGGAGCCCAAAGCGCCAAGGGAGTGAGAAGGCGGAGGGGAAGCGGGGCCGAGGGAAAAGGCGGGCCAGGCCCTCAGGACCTGCTCCCTGTCTGCAGGAGGGAGAGGATGCCTGGGGGCCTGGGGCAGGGAGGACTCACTCCCCCCCCATCCGCAGGAGGGAGAGGGAGCCTGGGGGCCTGGGGCAGGGAGGACTCACTCCCCTTCCCCCTCTCCCCCCTCCCCTGTCCGCAGGAGGGAGAGGATGCCTGGGGCCTGGGGCAGGGAGGACTCACTCCCCCCCCCCATCCGCAGGAGGGAGAGGGAGCCTGGGGGCCTGGGGGCCTGGGGCAGGGAGGACTCACTCCCCCCCCCCCCCCCCCGTCCGCAGGAGGGGGAGGATGCCTGGGGGCCTGGGGCAAGGAGGACTCACTCCCCCTCGGTCCACAGCACCGGCACCCGAGGTTCTAGCTCTGGAGCCTCTGGTAACTGCCCCCTCACATTGTCCCCCAACGAGCTCCTAAGGGCTGCTGGCTGGGATGGCGGGGGAGAGGCGACTCAGCTCATGGGTGCTCCAGCTCTAGTACGGGAGGCTGCGGACAGGCTGGTCCCAACATGGACGCCCCCGGGTTTCCGGCCACTCAGCCCGCCCCACCCCACTGCCTGGTGGCGGAGACAGGCCCGCTGACCTATAAGGCAGAGCCTGGGCAGCGCCTGGGCAGGCAGTGGGAACAATAGCTCAGGAGGCAGACCGAGGGGCAAAGCCCACGTGAGAAACCCAGGCCAGAAAGAGCCAGAAGCCTTGGCCGTGTCAGCAACCTCAGCGCGGACATGCTTCTGAGAGGGAAGGCAAGCCCAGCACGGAGGAAAATGAGACCTCGAACCACCACACGCCCCGTTTTAGAAATCCTGACCCATAATGTACATCCAAAACCACTAAGAATCAAAACACAGGCCTGGGCAGACCTGAGTGAGGCTGCCCACAATGAATCGCCGCAATCCTGGGCTCCTGCCAGGGGGAAGGCGTGGTCTCCCCTCCGCCCGGGCCAGCGGACGAGGAGCAGACCCTGCTCCGTCCGGACTGTCTCTCCCAGCAGACCCTCACACCCCGGGCTGAAGACGGCCCCGCACAACCGCCCGGCAGCACAGCATCTCCCATCAGGCCCCCCCATGCCACCCCCGGAGGAGGAGCAAAGGGCGGGAGCTTCCATTCCTCAGTCCTCGCGTCAGCACAGGGTGCCACGCACAGGGTGCCAGCTGCCAGGCACAACTGGAAGGCGGGCTGAAACCGGACTCACCCTGGGCCCAGTTAGTTCCGTGACCTTTGGCTTCTGGGACAGGGACTGGCACCGAGAGGGGTGTGAACGCTGTCCCTGCGCCGCTGCCCCTCACGTGTGGGGATGGGTTAGTTTCTGTTTTAGATGCGAGCAGGCACCGTTAGGTAACAGACCAGAGGGCATGACTGGGCTGGCAGCTGTGTTCTCAGTGTGGTCCTGTGGCCGTGGCCTTGTGGCCAGAGAAAACCTGTTCACACCAAGAAGACCTGTTTTGCCACCTAGAACCCACACCCATGAGAGACCACCGATCCAGACTAGGCACAAGGCCACGGCCACAGGACCATGCCGTGAATACACCTGCCCAGCCGTCATGCCCTCTGGTCTGTTATGAAGCGTGTTACCTAAAGGTGCCTGCTTGCATTTAAAACAAAAACTAGCCCATCCCCCCACAAGTGAGGGCCAGGGGCGGCGTGACAGCGCTCACACCCCTCTCGGTGCCAGTCCCTGCCAAGGCCTCCATAGTCCGTTTCCACTCTGCCATGTCCCTTCCGGGCCTTGTCGGGACTTTTTCAAAGCGCAGAAGCCTGTTTCCGTAAGGATCTGAACTGAAGCGATCAGGCCAGCGCTTCCTGACAGCCACCCGGCTGGCCCCCGCCGCCCCCCAGGCGGCCCCCTCCTGGCTGCTCACAAGGGGCCCATTCAGGGGCGCACCCACGAGGCGGGAGGAACTGCAGTCCATCTCCCGCAGGCACAGGCGGTGCCCACAAGCCCTCCGCATCGCAGAAACGCTCCTTTCATGAGCTCTCCTTCCCGGCCAGAGTGGCCATTGTTCTCCGGGAACAACGGGGCCCTGCCAGCGCTGAGAGCAGGGCCCGGCAAGGGCCGCTCCGCTCCGGCTGCAGGGAAGCCACATTGTCTCCGGCGAGGCCGCCGAGGGGCCACAGGGGAAAGCCACGCTGCTCCTCAGTCCGCTTCTTATTCCACCACAAGCCAGGCACAGCCCTGACCAGCCAGCAGGTGACCACCCCCAGTCTAAGCTCAGCGAGCTCGGCGGATGCTCTGTCCATGAGCCCCCAGAGGCAGCCAGCCATGTCCAAACCGGCTAGACCGCCGCTCCCCTCGGCACCCACAGGCGGCTTCGTCTCGTCCCCCCAGCACGGGCTGCGCTCTCCCTGCACACGGCCCGGTGGCTCTGACAGTCACAGCGGGTTTGCGGGTCCTCACTCCTGCCGCCAGCCCCCAGCATCCGAGGGCGCACTGTGTGACAGAGTCGCCGTGCAGACGAACGGCGGAGAATGTCAAATACAGAAATGCGCTAAGAAGGCAGCACAGGGTGTGAGGAAAGCGACTTCCACCGGGTGGAGGGAGGACTCCCCGGCCCCGGGGGTGTTCAGGCTGGCCCAGGGGTGCCCACAGAAGGGAGCCGGAGGCCTGGGGGGACCCGAGCTTGGCGGGGCAGCAGACAGGGCGCCTGTGGCTGGGGCATGGCACACAGAGGGAAAGGGGCTCGATCACAGTGCAGCTCCCTAACGCTGAGAAGGAGCTGTGAAGATAACGATGTCTCCTGCCTCCGTGTGGAGGACAGACCAAGGGGTCAAAAACAAAGATGGGGGGTCCTGGCCGGTTTGGCTCAGTGGATAGAGCATCAGCCTGTGGACTGAAGGGTCCTGGGTTTGATTCCAGTCGGGGCACATGCCTGGGTTGTGGGCTCGACCCCCAGTGGGGGGCATGCAGGAGGCAGCTGATCAATGATTCTCTCTCTCTCTCCCCCTTTCCCTACCTCTCTAAAATCAATAAAAACATATTTTAAGAAAAGAAAAAGAAAGTTACATTATATTCTCAGCCCAGGAGAAAACTACAGCCCAGCGAGTGAAAATACATCCACTGTGATCCCAGGCCTAGCGCGTCCGGTGGGCGTGTGACGTGGTGTCTCTCGATGAAAACAGAAAGCGATGGAGGAACCACAAAAGCTTCTCTCTCCCTTTCTACGCGATGTTTACGCCCTCATTGTGACGAGGGAAACAAAGCGCCAGGAAGGAAGGCGGCTGCTCCGTCCGTGTGTGTGTGTGTGTGTGTGTGTGTGTGTGTCCGTCCCCGGGGCAGCGAGCTGTCGGATGGAGAGCACACATCTTGCTCTCCACAGGCTCATCAGCTGCTAAGTGGTCTGCTTTCTGGATAAATATGCTCAGACCAAATCCTGTTTTCCAGTGAAGCCTCCCTCCTCCAGACAGTAAGCCTGTTAAATGTCCCTGCCGGACCCAGCCTGTCCCGCGCACTCAGCACTGCCAGGCACTGTGGTCAGGACGAACCCACGTAAGACAGGCCACGGCCACGGGATCGAGGCAACCACGGCAGCGTTTGGATATCCAGATGGAGTCTGCAGTTGGCAAGAAATGTACCCCAAACTGTCCTCCTCCACCTGATGGCCAGACCAGCACTAGGCTTGCCGGGTTACTGTGCGTATGCGGGACCCACCAGCTGGGAGGAGCTGTGAAGAGAGCGGCGTGTGGAGGAGCAGGACCCTCTGCGATCACAGGCCCTCGAGAACCAGCTCGGCCTACAGAAGGGCCAACGGGGAAAGGAACAGAGCACGGGGGGAGGGGGGCGCTGCCGAGTTTCAGGGGAGCGTGGCATGGTCACCCTCTCCTCAGGGCCTTTCTAACCTCGGTGCCTAAGTGACCAAATATATTAGTAAATGTACAATACTAAATTAGAGCAAAACTCCTATATTATTCATACTTTACTTTTAAAAACTAGTTCAAAGCACTGAAAAGTTCTGCATTCCTTGGTGGACCCCATGGTTAATGAAAGGCCTTTCCTGTACACAGGCCTTTCCCCGCCAAACCCCGAAGGGCAGGACCAAGAATCTTCCAGAGGACACGAGCCAAGGCTCCTGACCCTCAAAATAGGAGTCAGGCCAGCCGGCATGGCTCAGGGGGCAGCGTCCACCTATGAACCAGGAGGTCACGGTTCGATCCCCAGCCAGGGTGCATGCCGGGCTGTGGACTGAATCCCCAGTGTGGGGTGGGTGGGAGGCAGCCAATCAAAGATTCTCTCTCATCACTGATGTTTCTCTCTCCCCCTCCCCCTTCCTCTCTGACATCAATAAAAATGTATTTGTTAAAAACAGGAGTGAGAATGAAGGTTTAGGATGCTCTCCTGAGGTTATGGGGACCCTCTGGTGAACATCCGTGACCGTTCCCCTCTTAAGGGACAGTAAGTAGGTTCTGGAGAAAGTGAGCTCGGAACCACTAGAGCATAGAACTGAAGCACCAAAGCCTAACGTTGCAGTGGCATACGACCACTCTTTCTCATTTCCCCTCCATCCGGCTCACCTTGATGACTTCTCCATCAGAAGCAATTACGTCTGCAGGAATGGTCACTTGAAACAAGCGGCCGACGACAGCCGTGCCGTCCGGAATGCCGGCCACCGTGGGGACAGCCTCCGGGAGGTCCGACAGCACCGAGTGCATGGACGCCTCCAGCTGGTTCTCCCAGCCCCTGGCGGCCTCCGCCGGCTCACTTGGCCAGTGGGACTGGGTCGTGGCCACGCAGAACAGGAGGAGCAAGGCCCGCCCCCCGGCGGGGAGCAGCAGCAAAAGGCCCCCAGACATCCTCTTCCAGGGCGAGTCTGCGCGAGCCGGTCCCAGGGTGAAAGGCAGGCAGTGATGCGGTCCAGGCCGGGTCCTCACCCCCTGCACGCCCGCTCCATGCCAGAGCACTCAGAGCCTGAAAAAGAAGAGGAGTCGTCTCAGACTTCAGCGAGCCCCCTGGTTTCAAACTTGTGCCCAGGCATACTAATAACTTTGCTACCAGAAATATCTGTCCTGAGCTGGATCAAGTCTCATCCTGCACTGTCCGCTCAGCCCCAGCCACAGGTGGCGACTGAGCACTGGAAATGTGGCTTGCCCTGTAAATGTTAAGTGCACACTGAATTTTTAAAAGTTCACATAAAGAGAAATGTAAAGCCCTGGCTGGTGTTGCTCAGTGGATAGCGTTGGCCTACAGACTGAAGGGTCCTGGGTTTGAATCCAGTTAAGGGCACAGGCACAGGTTTCGAGCTCGATCCCCACCGTGGGGCATGCAGGAGGCAGCCTATCAATGATTCCCTCTCATCATTGATGTTTCTATCTTTCCTTCCCTCTCCCTTCCTCTCTCAAATCAATTAAAAAAAATTTTAAATAAAAAGAAATGTAAAATGTATCATTAATACGTTTTAAGTATTCATTACATACTGAAACAAGGTTTTGGAGAAAAATACATGAAGTGATAAACATTAACTAGAGGCTGGTGCATGGATTTGTGCACCGGTGGGCCGCTCAGCCTGGCCTGCGCCCTCTCCGAGTCCAGGACCCCTCGGGGGATGTAGGAGAGCTGGTTTCGGCCAGATCCCCGCAGGCCTGATCCAGACAGGCATGAAATTTGTGCACTGGGAGGGAGGGGGGTCCAGTTCCCTTAGCCTTGCCTGCACCCTCTTGGGGGACGTCCGACTGCCGGTTTAAGCCCAATCCCTACGTCAGCCAGACATCCCTCTTGCAATCTGGGACTGCTGGCTCCTAACCTGCCTGCCTGATCGCCCCTAACTGCCCTCCCCTGCTGGCCTGATTTTGCCCCCATCTGCCCTCCTCTGCCAGCCTAATTTCACTTCTAACTGCCTCTGCCTCAGCCCCTACCACCAAAGCTTTATCCAGAAGGAAGTCAGACGTCCGGGAGATGGCCAGTCAACCTGGTCTAATTAGCATATTACCCTTTTATTAGTATTGATAGATTATATGGGATAGGATTGCTTAAGGGGCAGAGGGTAGCCTTTTTCAGCAGGAGGAGATGCTCTTGGCAGTCAAAAATACATAATCCCTATATCTGGACTGATAGCCAGCCATACGCACTATCCTGCCAAACGAGTCATTAAAAAATTGAACCACTTTCTTACACCTTACATCAAAGAGCTGTTGCCCTTAAAACCTCTCCTTAGCCCATACCTTAGGCTCTGCCTTCACAGTTCACCCAGATTAGGTTCTCATTAGTCAGTTGCTATGCCAGTCAGCGTCAAAAGCTCTGCCTCCTATACAGCCATTGGCTCCTTGCAGTTCAACCAGATTTGATTCTGATTGGTCGGTTTCTATACCAGTCAGCATCTCTGGACCTATCTCTAGGCCTGATCAGAGAGGTGGGACTGCTGGCGAGGCCTGGAGAGAGAGGCAAGGGCTGATCAACAGCTGCCTCGGAGGCTGTGGATCAGACCCTGCTTCTCTCTCTGGGCCTGATCACAGCCCCCTCGGCAGTCAGTGCTGAGTCACCACAGCAACCCAGCACTGACTGCAGGACTGACTTCCGGTGTGCGGTCGTCCGTTTGTCATTTTGGATGTTACGGACCCTGGCTCTTTATATACATAGATGGTAAAGAAACATATTACATTAAATATATTATTAGACTTAAATCCACTTCTTATTTCATGTCTTGGACCTATGTGGCTCAGGTTACATTTCTGTTGGGCAGTGCTGCTCTAGACCTAACTCCTAATATAGGAGTCATGAAGACACGATCAGACAAATGCAGAATGTGGGACCTTCCACAAGACAACTGGCTTGGCTTGTCCAGATGCTCACACCGCTACACACCAGGGGACTGTTCTAGGTTTAGAGGCCACAACCAGGTGCAGTTAATGCACCTTGACTAGATCCTGGAGTTACTTCAAAAACAAAGCACACACCAGTCTGCTCACAAAGGAGGAGCTGGGGACTTTGCCTGTGGGTTGGAGGGATGTGCTAATTTTCGGGGTGAGCTGATGGTGGTGTGTTCCTATAAGAGATGGTCCTCAATTTCAAAGTACTCAGGAATACGGTGTCAAAAATCTCCATAACTCACTCTGCAATGGCCCACGGGGAAAAATGTGTGTGTATAGGGATAACGCAATGTAGTAAATATAACAATTACTAAGTCTTTAAAAATATTTTTGAAAAGACTAAAAAAGCCAATTATTTGCAGAGACCCGCCACCAATGCTCACTCCTCACACCCCACGCACTAATCACAGGACTCACTCACTCAGCGTGCATCTGCAGACTCGGTGCCATTGCCCTCCCCTGGCTCTCCTGCCCTCGCATGGCAACTTGACCAGAACCTGCCCCAGTCCCCCTCCCAGGCCGGCTTCTCAGACCCGCTGCTACACACAGGGGAACACAGCTCCCGTTCTACAAAGGGCCAAGCTCTGCCTGAGCCACGCTGTCAAGGGACCATGTGATACATTTTTGGCCTGGGTAATGCGAAAGTAAATAAGCTGCCATTGAAATAGGCAGTTTATGCTAAAGTTAATGCAAATCCAACCAATTCCAATAGGATTATTTTTGCTATTGATTTTGTTATCTGTTTTTTGAACTAAAATTCATGAAACAGAGCCAAACCCCAAGAAAGTAAAACCATTTTGGAGGTTGGGTGTCCTATCACACCGAAGACTTACGCTAAGGCTACGGTATTAAGTGTCTCAGGGGAGTACCAGTTGGCTGTGCACCGGAGAGAGGCCCAGAGCAGCTGCTGAAGGTGTCGGGACAAGTGGCCATCTATGCAAAAAGCCAACACAACTGGGCTCCTCCCTCACTTTTCCATCACAAACGTGATAAATCCCAGTGGATGATACACACAAATGTAAAAAGCAGAATTAAAAAAAAATTTAGGCCCAGCCAGTGTGGCTCAGCAGTTGAATGTCAACTATGAACCAGAAGGCCATAGTGCAATTCCCAGTCAGGGCACATGTCCAGGTGGCAGGCTCCATCCCCAGTAGAGGACATACTGAGGCAGCCAATCAAATATTCTCTCACCATTGATGTTTCTCTCTCCATCTCCCTTCCTCTCAGAAGTCAATAAAAATATATATATATTTTTAAATATAGCCGAATGTCAGAATTAGGAAGGATTTCATTTAAAAAGACCTCAAAAACACAAAGCATGGGAGAAAGGACACTGAACTTCTACTTCCAGGAAAATGGAGTAGATATATTTTTCCAGGTTTCCCCACCGAAAACTCCTACCCATTACCTGTAAACTGAACAAGAGGGCAGGCAGCAAGGACCCGGGACTCAGGCAGATGGTGGTTCCCTGGGCCTCCCTGACTCATCCGTCCCAGAACCGGAGCTGAAGAAGCTGGCAACCCAGAAATGCCAGCGGGTGAGACCAGAAAGGTCCAACCACAGCTGCCCTCTAGCTAAAAGCAGGAGGAGACAAAGCACTTGGACAACAGCAGCTCTATTCCGGCCGAGGGCTCCACTCCCACCGCACCAGCAAAGGCCACGGGACCTAGGCTTGCACCCCGAGCTGTGACCAGGCCCCGAACACCCGAGGCAACGTCGGAGAAGGCCAGGCTGGGACCGCATCCCCACTGCCAGCAGCAGCACTCGCCCTCCTCCCAGCCCCTCAGAGCGAAGAGAATCACCAGAGAGAGGAGGGCAGCGCGATGACAAAACGATAATCGCCAAGAAGAACCACAGATGGACACCCACCGACCAGCAGAGTGTGAACCGGTAGAGTAAAATCGGATAGACAGAGAAAAGGATTTGAAACCCCCATCCTAACTGGAAACTTCAATGCCACCCTCTCAACAACGGACAGAACGAGAAAGAGAATCGGCAAGGACACAGAACTCACAGTACCGCCGGTCAGCCTCCCCCGGCTCCATACCGCTCCCACCGGCCAGCAGGCCCTCGTCCTTTCCCAGTGCTGGGGGAGCACGGACCAGACAGACCACAGCTGGAGCCACGAACCAACCTCTCCAAACTCAAAGCCCCAAGTAATACTGAATGTGTTCTCCAACCACAGGAGTCAAGTCAGAAATCACCGACTGAAGGAAAACATCTGAGCACTATACAACATGCTTGTAAATAGTCCCAGGTCAGAGAGCAAGCTCAAGGGCATTGCCCTGGATACAGAAAAAGCAGGTTTGTTTCAGAACACAAGCCGCGCTCACTAGCAGAGGCGAACTGATACACCGAGTCCACGGGCAAGAAAGGAAGTGTCAAACCGTGACCTCCCCCCCCTCCCCCCCAGGAAGCTGGAAGAGGAAAGGCCCTGCAGGTGTGGCCGGCTGCAGCCTGTCCTACGCAGGTGGTTCCGGTCAGGCACCCGCTTAGGTGCATGTGGGCGGCAACAGACAGGTGTATGCTTCCCTCCCCCATCTGTAAGATCAATTTCTTAAATGTTTTATTGATTTTAGAGAGAAACACTGATCTTAGAGAAACATGTCCTGTGGTTGCCTCCTGCACACACCTGGTCAGGGCGGGATCAAACCTGCAATCGGGGTATGTGCCAGGAACTGAACCCGCAGCCCCTATGGCTCTACCATTGTGCCATACCAACCAGGGCTGATTTAACTTTGTAATGTTCTTGAAGTGACAAAATTATAGAACCAGAGGATAAAGCGGTAGCTGAGGGGTTACAGGAGGAGGCCGGTGAGGCTGTAACTGATGCCATGTCCTGTGTGGGGACTGCCAGTCAGTGCCCTGGGGCAAACTGGGGAAAGGTCCTCAGACCTCTCCGTATGAAGTTTGACACCTGTATGTGAACCCACAATTTCCTCAAACATTTTTCCCCTAAATCTTCAGTATCCGTCCAATAAGGGACACCACAAAGTAAACAGGACCAATCACAGCGGGGAGAGCTTTGTCCATGCGCATGGTGGCTAAGGTTTTCTTTTCTGCATTTCCTTTTCTATCTCCTGGCTTAACTGCTCTTTATCCCTTTCCCAGTTTATTTCATTGTATAGGTTTAAAGCGCTCAGGTCTTCTGTTTTAAGCTATCTCAAATTGTAACTTTACAGTTTCCTTTCTTGTTGCGTAGTTTCCTTCCTCAGGCGGTAATTCTCACTAATCAGTGGCTCAGCTCAACCAGCACCGCAGGCCGGGCTGGAAGGCGCGGCGGACTTAGCGTGTCACCAGGCACACCCTCAGGGTGATCGGGGAGGACACAGGACTGCTCTTTAGCTTCTATGTCTTTACCCTTCAGTTTGCTTCCTTTCAGACCCCGCCGGCCTTTACTTTCTCACTGATTTCCGTTCTAACACTCCCCTCCTGTGGAGGCAGCCCGGGTGAGCCACGCCCCGTCACTGACACACCAGCCCGTCTGCTATCGCGGACACATGACTCAGAGCTCCGCATTTAGCAGCGCCCTGTCCCAGGCACAGCTCCAGCTGCGCTGGTTTCCATGCTGGGAGAAAAGATCTTCATGAACTTGGCGAAGAGCAGCCTGTGTCTCCGCTGCCGCACTCCCCCAGCAGGGGTCACGTCCGGGGCCGAGCTGGCAGGCGGCACCACCTCCCGAGGACGCCCTCTGGAGGGCGGACTGCTCAGATGTGGGCACTCAGAGGAGCCCTGCAGAGCCCCCCTCCTCGCTCTTCAGGGACCCAGAGAGAGCGCGCCAACCTGGTCCCGGAGCCCGCGGGGGACCAGTCAGCCAGTCTCCCGACACCCCCCTGGCCTGAGCGCTGCGCACGCCTCCCAGGGCGCCCGAAGGCCTCCGTGCTCTCACCAGCCCACCGAGAGGACTGCCAGGCTCTCTCCGAGCACCCATGTCTGTGCCAGGACCCAGGGCAGTGCCCGACCCCAGAGAAACCCACCGCTGTGAGGAGGGGCCTCCCTGAGCCTGGGTGGAGGCCGGCTCGCCGTGCGCACGCTCAGCAGCATGGCACACGGAGTGAAAACGGGCACAGCTGCCAGGAAGCATGCACCCCTTGTCCCGGACAGTCCACCCCAGGGTTAGGGAAAACTTGAAAGTGTCAGAGCCTGCAAAGCGCAGACACACCCGGTCCCGTGGTCACTGCTGTCCTAGAGCGGACACCGGGCTGCCCCTCCCCTCTGCAAAAACCTGCACACCTGCCCCAAGTGCCCCACCGATCCGTCCCGGGCCAGGCGCGCACCCAGCGCCGAGCACCGCCCCGCAGCACCTCCACAGAGCCCGGCCTGGGTGGAGGGGGAAATGGCTCCGGAGGGACCTCCCGGAGATGAGAGAGCATTGGCCTGGGCGCCCAGGCCAGGGCTCCCTGCAGGGAGGTGTCCTCCCCAGAGGGGGGAGCCGCAGCCCCTGCACCCTGTGCGCATGCCTCCTGTCCCAGCTGCTCTGGGGGATGGGCAGGAGGAACCCATCTAGAGCAGAGACTGTCCTGGAAGCGGGTGCTGGAAGCTCCCTCGCCCGTCGCAAGGACACACTGGAGAAGCGAAGCTGACAGTGACCGCGCGGCCCAGGCACCCGAGCAGGACGGCGTCCTGTCACCACCCTCCACCTCGCTGTGACTGCAGCACGGCCCTCGGGGCGGCCTGGGCCCGGGGACTACGCCCATCTTGAACCCCCGCCCGGGGTGAGCAGCTCTGCCGTGGCCGCCGCCCAGGGGCAGGCCCTCAATTACGGCTTCTGAGCTGGAGTGACACACGCACTGTGGCACCAACTCAATTCAGAGTGAACCCTGTCCTCCCGCAGAAACCACGGAGCAGCCCTTAGCGGGAACCGGGAGAGCAGTGCCGCTGGCTTCCCCTTCCAAGAACCAAGCCTGAGGTTCACCCATGGCGAGCCACGCCCACCGAGGCAGCGGCGGCTGCCCTCTCCGGCCGCTGTTACCTAGAGCAGCACTACCTGTCAGGCTGCTACCCCGTCAGGGTAATTCAAACATTTAAGGTAATGGGATTTCTTTCTAAAAGCCAATCAAAGACAATAAAATTTCACATGTTTTAAATGGTTTGGAGAAAGTCAAAAGCGAAATCTTCACTGAAACCACCAGTTAGGCTGCACCTGGCACAAGGCTGTGCCCGCACTCGGGAGTTAGCGCTAAGGTCAGTCCAACTTGAATACAGACTTTCTGGAGGGTCAGCAGCGCCCAGCTCAGCCGGGGCCACAGGGGTCAGCACCCGGGCAGCACAGGTCTCGTTCACTGAAGCACAGGCGGCCCTCGCATCCCGGCGTCAGCGCAGGTGCTGAGCCTTAGTCACCGGCAGAGACTCCAGGTGTCGCCCTGAAGTCACTCCAGCTCAGAAGACTCCCTGACAGGAGGCAGCTTCCTCCCGGTCTGGACGCTGGGGGTCATCAGCAGAGGTTTGGGACAGCCCCGCCAACGCCATTGGGAGCCACCACCCACCACGGACCAGGGTCACAGACACAGCGAGGTCCCAGAGTCCAAGGGCGCGGGGAAGGAGCTGACAGCGTCCATCGGACAAACGCTGCTCGCAACCCTTCCCTCGCATGGACCCGGGCAAATCCGCACTGTCACAGGCCCCGAGGGCAGGCCTGGGGCCGTGGTCTCCGCTGATGGGCACGGCACTCAGGGGCAACGCGCCCTGGAGGGGGGCAAGACGAGGTCCAAGGCAGGCTCAGCGGCCCTCCCCGCCGACGGCCTCCCCAGCGACGGGGCCCGCGTAGATCTTTAACATCCTGTGTGGCCCCAGCCGGTGTGGCTCAGTGGATAGAGCGTCAGCCAGTGGACTGAGAGTCCCGGGTTCAATTCCAGTGAAGGGCACATGCCCAGGCTTTTGGACTCGATCCCCAGTAGGGGGCGTGCAGGAGGCAGCCAATCCATGATTCATCACTGATGTTTCTAACACTCGCTCTCCCTCTTCCTTCCTCTCTGAAATCAATAAAAATATTTTAAAAAATAAAACACTTCAGTCACCTCATAGTTAAAGAAACTTAAAAAAAACACACATCTGTGTAGTGACACTCCACACGCCACCGGCTCCACAGACTGTCACACACGACTCCCTGAACTCCCCATCAGAACAGTTCAGATGGTAAAGTTCACGTTACGTGCTTTTTACAACTAGTTTTAATTTTTACAGTTAAGATAGTAAGTTTTATATTACATATATTATGTCACAACTATAAATAACTGCTTTTTTATTTTTATTGTTTTTTTAAAATATATTTTATTGATTTTTTACAGAGAGGAAGAGAGAAGGATAGAGAGAGTTAGAAACATCGATGAGAAAGAGTCATCGACCAGCTGCCTCTTGCACACCCCCTACTGGGGATGTGCCCGCAACCAAGGTACATGCCCTTGACTGGAATCAAACCTGGGACCTTTCAGTCCGCAGACCGACGCTCTACCACTGAGCCAAACTGGTTTCGGCAATAAATGCTTTTTTAAAGACATTACTCAGGAGAGAAAGGAAGACAGGACTCAGAGTCACACCGATCAGGAAAACACCTCCAAGGCTTAGCCCAGTCTTCTCACCATCCACGCCCGGCAGGGACTGAGGACAGAAAAGTGCAGACTGAGGCCAAGGCCCAGGCCCAGCCCAGACCTCACTGTCCCGCTGGCTGCCGGCTGGGTGGGGCGGGGCGGAGGAAGGAGTGTGTGCCAGAGGTGGGTGGCAGGCTCAGCAGACCCAAGTGAAATGAATTACACCTCTGCCCGCGTACCATGTGGCCTCCGAGAACCAATTAAAGCAAATTACAGCCAAAACCGGTTTGGCTCAGTGGATAGAGCGTCCGTCTGCAGACTGAAAGGTCCCAGGTTCGATTCCGGTCAAGAGCATGTACCTTGGTTGCGGGTACATCGCCAGTGGGGGGTGTGCAGGAGGCAGCTGGTCAATGATTCCCTCTCATCGACATTTCTAACTCTCTATCCCTCTCCCGTCCTCTCTGTAAAAAATGAATAAAATATATTAAAAAAAAAAAAAAATTACAATCCTCAGGGCCCCGTGATGAACACGCGGAGCACACCGCCAACCAACCACCGGGCTGGTGTGACGCTTCCTCTGCGAGCACTCTCCACGCACGACTCAATCCTAAACACACGAGACGTGAACTCAGTAGTCCTGTGTTATAACAGGCGTTCCTTCTCCTGCAGGTGCGTACAGGAACCTGCTAGTTGCCTTCCGACCGACTCCCCAAACTTCCTGGCTACCCAGCCACCTCCCATCTCAGTACAAGAAAGAGTGGCCTCACTGTGAGGGCGGGGGGGGGGGGGGGGGGTCAGTGTCTGTCCTGGTGGAGGGCAGGGGAGGGGAGGGGGAGGGGGAGGGGGAGGGGGAGAGGGAGAGGGAGAGGGGAGGGGGAGGGGGAGGGGGAGAGGGAGAGGGAGAGGGAGAGGGAGAGGGAGAGGGGAGGGGGAGGGGTGCAACATCTCAGGCAGCACCTGCTCTGCTGCTCCCCCGCCAGGTGCCCTGCGCAGAGCAAAGTGCAGAGAAAGGAAGGTTCCCACTAAATCCAAGCACAAAAGCATGCTCACCTGACTTCACACGTGGCAGTTAAAAGCTAAGCTTCTGACAGTTTTCATTCTACGACAAAAGATTCAAAGTGCGTGCTGTAGCTCAAAACCAAATGGTTGCTGACTTCACCGAATGAAGTTTGGGAAAGTGTGCTGGCTGCTGGCCTCCTGACCTCATTGCTCATCAGACCCCGAAACTGGGGAGAGGATGGCCGGGTGGCCCCGGCCCCCCAGCTCCCTCCTCGGTGCGGGTGCCGCAGCCTCACGCGCAGGCCTCAGGAGCCAACCGGGGTCAGCCCCGGGGACTGGGAGTCCTGCATCTTCACGGAAAATCACCAAGTGTTTTTTAGGCAAAAACTTCAACGTCAGTGTTTAAAGCGGTGACCGGATTTTGGCCACATTCTTGTTTGGAGCCACGTTCTTAGGATTCAGCCACCAAGAGCATTTCAACTATCCTAGAAATGTGCGGCTCAGCAAGCCTGTCTAAAGGACAAGACACAACTAGCACTCGCTCCCTCTGCTCGGCCTTCTTCGTGCGCAGAATTCCTTCCCTCCCACACGCGCCTCCTCTAATTGGCCCTTCTACTTGCTTCAGCTCAGCCACAGCTACAAAGTCTAAACTCTCACACACTTCCCGGCAGGTCTTACAGGTGAGCTGCCAGCGGCCGGAGCAGTCCTGGCCGGCAGCTCAGACACACCAAGGTTGTAGGTTTGATCCCGGTCAGGCCACATACAAGGATCAACCAATGAATACATAAGTGGAACAAGAAACTGATGTTTTCTCTTTCTTTCCAACAAATTTTTTTTAAAAACCCAAAGGCTGGAGCAGAACAGCCAGGGAGGACCTTGCTGACTTCTGAGCCTGCCCTGCAGCCAGGGCCACCCAACCAGGGACAGAGCAGTTGGCAAGGCCAACGCGGAGCCGGCGGACATGCCCCGCCCCCCGTGCCCGCCTCAGGCCTGTCCCAGGGAACTGGCGAAGGCTAAGCTCCAGGCCAGATCCCAGATCCCATCAGTCCCGCATCCTGGCCGCCCAGCAGGACACGCTGCTCCTCACACACAGGTTCACAGAATCGGGCACCAAGACGACAGAGAAAGCCACGTGCTCTCCTCCTCACGCCCCAGGGGTCCCCCGCTGACCGCTGTCCGCCACCCGCCAGTGACTTACTGCAGGGTCAACGCAACTGCAGCCCTAGGAGGCGCCCTTGGCCTCCCTTCCTGCCGCGGGGAGCGCGCCCTGAGCACAGGGGGAAGCGGGCTCCATCAGTGGTGATCGCTCGGAAGGGAATTCCTGCGTTTAGTCCAAGGATTAAATGTGAAAGCCGGAGGGGAGGAGGAAAGGACACGCGCAAAGTCTTTCCTCTTCGTCCGATACAAGCCCAGCCGTGGGAGGGAGCAGCTGCCAAGTCCTCTCCGGGCGGGCAGAGCCTTCCCTCCACCCAGCAGAGCGCCAGGCCCCTGGCCGCACAGAACACGAACCCGGCACCACGGGGCCTTGCAGGTGCTCTCCCTCCCTCCGCCGCCGGCTGCTGACCGCCCGCCGTCCACTGTGCCAGGCGGTGACTGCTTACCGGGCCTCGTTCGTTCATGGAAGTGTATGTTTTCTCATTGAAGGAAGTTGGCCAACAAACCTTAAAAGTTCTGTGGCTTTGGACCTAATCAGGAGTCAGGAGCGTCCACTGTGCATTTTCTCCTGCGGAGTCAGAGGGCACTGAGGAGCCTGGGTCACCGCCGGCCCCTCGCAGAGCCTGGGGGAGGCCACTGCCGCCCCTCGGAACGTCCGGGTCAGTGAGAGGAAAAGAACCGAAGGCCGGAGTCCGGCAGGGACGAGTGAGTGCCGCCTGCGCAGACCAAGCCGCCCGCGGGGCGCGGCTGGTAGCCCGGATGCGGCCGCTGGCCCGGGACGTGTCCCTCCGCCTAGTGACCCCTCAGTAAGACTTCTGTGTGGGGGAGCGGGAGACGCAGAGACAAGACCACCAGGGCAGCACCACCAGCGACCGGAACCCACCACGCTGTCCATCCGAGGCAGCAGGCTGGCCTGGGCACGAGCATTTCCGCCCTGGTTGAAAAGCAGCAGTCCTGACTCACTCTCTGTAGATCCCTTCCGGGTCAGCTGACTCCTACCCCCCCAGTGGGTGTCCCCCCACCAGCCGGCCTCACAACTGGAGGGAGCAGGGCAGCCGGGCTCCTGGAGGCTTCTCACCCCGAGAAGGAGCCACAGGCCGGTCAGCCTCAGGCCGTTACAAAGAGCCAGCGGTGACCGGAAGGAACAGGCTTCTGTGAGACAAAAGCATTAAAAATGCAGTATTTTCCTAGAGAGCTAGAAGTTTTTTGTTGATTTTACATACATATATGTGGGGGCTTTTATTTCAGAGAAGAAGGAAGAGGGAGAGAGAAACTTCAATGATGAAAGAAAATCATTGATCAGCTGCCTCCTGCACATCCCCCCACTGGGGATCAAGCCCACAACCCAGGCCTGTGCCGACCAGGAATCGAACCGTGACCTCCTGGTTCATAGGCCGCCGCTCAGCCATTAAGCCTCGCAGCCGGGCTATTTGGTGTGTGTTTTTTACCAAGCTTTCTCTATGAATTCACAATCTACAGATGCCTCAACCAGCCACTCAAACTCTCTGCTTGCAGGAGGGCTCAGCAGCAGGAAGTCACATGGCAGGCTTCACACCAGTTTCCGCTTCTCACACCACAGGGTCCGTGCAGCTGTGAACTTCGGCGGCAGCTCTGGGTCTGCAGGTTCTGGAGACGATTCTAAGCTCGTTCTAAGAAGGCAAACTGAAAGTTTGCAAATCTGTTTTTCAAAATACTTTCCATGCACTGGGAGATCTCAGCTATCTTCTGCTTTCATAGACAAACTACCAAGTGTTCAATCGGACACCAATTACAGGTCCGCGGAAGGGGCCAGGCCTCCCACAGGCCACACGCACGGCTGGTCCTGGGTGCTGGAGGAGGGGAGCACAGCTGTGAGGCAGGGGGAAGAAGAGGAGCAGGAGCAGAGCTGAGAGGTATGGGGAGGAGCAGCAGAGATGAGAGGCAGGGGGGAGGAGGAGGAGCAGGAGCAGAGTTGTAAGGTAGGGGGAGGAGGAGCAGAGATGAGAGGCAGGGGGAGAAGGGGAGCACAGCTGTGAGGTAGGGGAGGAGGAGGAGGAGCAGCAGCAGAGATGAGAGGCAGGGGGAGAAGGGGAGCACAGCTGTGAGGTAGGGGAGGAGGACAGCTGTGAGGCAGGGGGAGGAAGAGGAGCAGAAGCAGTGCTGAGAGGTAGGGGGAGGAGCAGAAGAGATGAGAGGCAGGGGGAGAAGGGGAGCACAGCTGTGAAGTAGGAGGAGGAGGAGGAGCACAGCTGTGGGGTAGGGGGAGGAGGAGCAGAGATAAGAGGCCAGGGGGGCAGACGAGGTGGGGAGGAGGAGGAGCAGAGCTGTGAACCCTGACAGCCTGGAAGCCCACCCCCACTGACCTCTGGCCCTGCATGATTCGAACACGCAGCCCCCAGGACTCCAAGCCCTCAGGTTTATGGGGAAATGAGGGTTTTAAAAGCATTTCCCCTAGAAACAGCACAAACACAAATAAACAAGAAGGACTTTGTGTGGAGGACGCCTGGGTTACAGAGGGAGAAATGTCAGAGCCTGGGCCTGGGATCAAAATAGTCCGTACTCCCTCCCGGAGCCTCCCCGGGGGCCCTCCCCACGCTCCCAGCTGCGCGGTGGCTCGTCAGTCACCGCCCACTGGGCCGCCCCGGGAGGGCACGGGAGCCAGCAAGCACCTCACACCGAAGGAGCCCGGAGCGCTCCCGGGCCCGGCACCTGCATTCACTGCTCCTGGAGCACGGTGGGCGAGGAGGGACATCCATGTGGACGCGGCCCAGCAGGACAGCCTGGCTCCCGAGGCCCGAACCGGGCAGGGCAGGGACGTCCCAGGCCCCGCGGGATGCCTCTTCTCAGGGCAACCCCTTGAGGGCGATGGGCTCAGGAGGGCAGAGGCCGGCCCGCATCCTCTGCCTCTGTCTCCCCAGCAGACTCTGCGTCTATGGGATGGGCCTGCGCACAGGACAGCTGCGCACGCTGACAAGCTCCTGGGCCTGGAGCTGAGCCCCCCACTGGCCTCATGCCCACCCCCAGCCACCGCCCGGCGGCAGGAACAGCACCGGCAGCGGGCACCTCCCGCTCTGAAATCCGCACCCAGAGCCGGGGCCACGACCACAGCCTGATGTGCGCACAGGGCAAGACCATCTCCGCCTGGCCTCCTCCGTCCTTCCTGCGGGCTGTGCCCTGAAGGGAGAAGCAGGAACTCCTCCAGACACTTCCAAACGAGAGGAAATTCTAAAACACAGCCTCCTAGGACACAGCCGAGACCGCCACTCCACCCGTCCCGGTGGGAGGTCCTCCGTCCTCCGACAGAACAGCCCGCCAGGTGGCCTCCGGAGCCTCCAGTCCCCGCCCTCCGTCCCACAGCGCCCCTTCCTCCACCTCCAGCCGCCCAGGGATCACCGAGCAAACCGCCAACCCCCCACTCAGCGCTCTCCTCCCGCCTCCCCTGACCAGGCGCGCCCCGGGAAACGGGCACCCCAATGTCAGCGCGGCGGTTCTCCCGGGGCGGCCCTCCTCAGCAGAGAACGGATACTCAGTGTCTTCATCACCAGGGGCTGGAACCCAAACTCTTTCCTTCCGTCCTCACCTGATTGGGAGGGGAGGGGAGGGGAGGGGAGGGGAGGGGGACATG